CCCCAAAACCCCAAAACCCCAAAACCCCTTGGTGAATAGCCTCAGTTGAAAGAGAGTAAAATAGAGTACAGAAAATTTAAATAGAGAAGGAAAACAAGTAACATAGCTTTATAGATTTTGGTTTTGAAGGTCTTCTTATTATGATAATACTATAGAGAGAAATATCCAGACCACTCATTCAGAACAAATTAGTTTAAGAGCAGATCATTCTGCAATCATAATTGATTTGGTGACTGTTTGGTGAAGCCCCTTACAAATAATCGGATTTCTACACTATACTCAGTAATTTTATAGTATAATTAGTTAAATGAGAAATCAACTGCATCATTTCTCAAAATTTTATAGTAGCTTTAGCATAAAGCTTCATTTCTAGGCTAGTCTTGCTATCTCAAATATGGGTAGTCAAACTTATAGGAGGAGAAATCACTGAACTGAATATAAAAAATTCGATCGATCCTGACTCTCTTTGATTGAGCCTCTAAATTTATAAAAGTCTTCACAAAATATAGAAAATTCTCTAGAAAACTTGGTCTTGTAGTTGCTTATGAGCATTGGTAACTATTACTCAGAGTTTAATAGTTCGATATTCTACCAAAGACTCACTCTTGATGAATTCCTTTCGATAATTGAGCAGTGAAGTATAATATAGCAAGTAGATTGTAATCGATTCTGTGAATAGACAGAGGGTCTAACAGGATCTATCGAATTGGAAGTGTGATACTCGATTCGATTCCTTCACTAAATAACAGAACCGAAAACTTTTTGACCCTGCTTTCGAGCTCAGTCTGGCAACACGGAGCCTCTCATTCTCTTCCTCTTAGATTCAGGACATTCTGGTAGTGTTATAAAATCTGAAAATTAGGATCTATTCTTCTCTGATATTGCTCTAGAAATCCTGAGAAATACCCTTTTAATGCCTCTCAATGAAAGGGATATATCCAGAATTAGGCTATGAAGCCATATCTGACCTGCTAGCTGGTTATCCTTCAAAACCAGGCGATTTTGGAGTCTTTTCAAGTGTTCTCTATTCCACATGAATTTTCAAAAAATTTCGAGTATAAAATAAAATGATTAAATTTTCAGTAATAATTACAAAAGATAGTTTTACACGTCTCCTAACTATTTTTAGTCAAAATAATCATGATTTCAAAATTAGAACTGGAAGGAGTGTCATGTTCGTCACTTTTCCCCATCTTGTTCCCAATGATAAAGGATGTTCTAAGAGTTGGCTAGATGTCCCTTAACATAGTATAGACCATCTCTGGCTTCGGAACTGAGTCTCGGGTTCAGGAGAAGGAAGAGGAGTGTTTAAAAATTACTCTTTAGAAGAGAGAAATTCTCGAAAATTATTCGAAAAAATCTTATATCTTTTAGTAACGGGAAGACTTGGAGGAGAGAACGGTATGAGGATTTGAATTGGAGCTATCTTTATCTTTGAGTATGGCTAACAGATTATTAGTCATTGTATATATTGAGATATCAGCCGAGAAGTGGTAAAAATTAGCTGATCCTACCCAGCCCAAGCTCTTTTCAGACCCTAGAGCTCACATCAGTAGTTCTTCTTCCTCCCAAAATAATTTCCTACAATTCCTCTCTCAACCTGATCTCAAACGTTATTTTCCAAATTTTTGTAATTTCATCAACTGTGACGTTATTTAGACTAAATTTCCCAAATTTCCCCATTTTCAAAGCCATCCAACTTTACACTTCTTTTGGCTAAAAATGAGCTTAAAACTAGGTGAAGTATACCCAACTCCCCAAACCACCCCAAATGGACTAATTTCCCCTAATCTTCTCAAACTTCTCAATTTCCCCCTAAAATTGCATTATTTCTAAAACCCCATATATTTCATATCTTATTATAATAAATTTATACTAAATTTTAGAAAAATTCCGATCTCTAGCTATAAATATAATTTGGGGTTTTGGGGTTTTGGGGTTTTGGGGTTTTGGGGTTTTGGGGTTTTGGGGTTTTGGGG